GCTCACTTGTGATCCAGAATGGAGGTAGGGAAGCAGCTGCTTGCTGAGGAGGGCATGAAAATTTTGCTTTGTTTTCACCAAGTGTTGTGATCAGTCTGAAGCACAGTCATCTTCAATCAGTAATGCAGCTGGTAGGAGCACTGCTGTCCACCTTTTGCCTAGTGGTTTGGGAGTCCTTCATCTCCTCCTTGCAGTAGCCCATGTTTGGATGTCTAGATATTGTGAGCAGAGTTGATGTGGAATATAAGTCAGCACCCAAATTTTGCTTAAACCCTGCCTGGGCATCTTCAAGATTGCTTTGGATCTGGCCCCTAGATATCTGGTTCCAGGAGCCAGTTGAAAGAAACACAATTTGGAGTCACCTTCCTCTTGCTTGTTCTCCTTGTCATCCCAGGCATCTTGCATTCCTGGCTGTCCTATGGGCCAGTCTCAATGGGATGTGTGGGAGGCCACCACCCAGTCTAGACTATAATCTGGCAGTTAGGAAGAGGTATGGGATTTAGGTTTGCCCCCCTCCCCCCCACAGAGGGAGAAAGGCCTAAATCTAGGTCTTTGATTTCCTGAGCAACTGCTGTTACCATTAGGCTATGAGGCAAATGGGGGCATTGCTGCTGAAGACTGAAGAGATAATGTACTCTGTACTGAGGTCAGTTCTGCTGTTGAGTAAGTGTTTGGGCTCAAGTGGGTGCCTCCTTCCTGAGTGGTCTGGAACTCAAGATAACAGATGCAGCCCTGTGTCAGATGTCTGAGCATGAGCAGGGACATGGACATACCCTTGGATATATTTTATAGTAGCTGGATGTAGGGACACCTCCCTGCTCAGCACTCAGGCACTCTGGATCATCTTTGAGAGGCACCAAGTTTGTCCTATCACTATACTGGTTTTCTGGAATCCCAATCCTGTCAATCTCAATCATAGCTTTGGGCAAGGCATCTAAAATGCAGGTGCTTAAAACCCTAGATGGAAGCGCCTATAAGATCATATGAAATCTGGGACCTACTGAATTTGCAACTTTGTGATTTTTGTTGACACCAAATTCAGTTGGTCCCTGTGAAAAACTGCAGGGACTGCGAAAAGACACAAAATCAGCAGCAGGGGGGAGGGGAGGAAGTGCTGCAAAAACAGAAAAGGGAGGAGAGCCCTGGCATCCTGAGGCAGGGGGAGACAAAAGGAGGGGCAGGATTTTTGTGGCTCACAGCAGGCCCTCCAAGCCTCTGACTGAGGGGCTCCAGAAGTCCCACCCCTCCCCAGAGATTGACAGATGTCACTCTCTGCAGAGGGACTTCTGGGTTCCCTTAGTCAATCAGAGGCAAGGGGCAGAAGGCGGGGGGGAGGGTGG